TTTACTGCATGTGCTCGTTCCTCAGGGTCACCCTGGTTTGCCCTCCAATGGGTCCTCCAGGGACTGTGCTCTCTGCGGAGACGTGAGTTCAGTGTCCCTGGTCTCAGTACCAGCTGCTTGGTCACCTGTTAACTTGGAGCCTTCTCAGCCCTTTCCCAGAGCTGTCACTTCAGTAGGACCTCTGATGCATAACCAGCCATGCCCCTAGCCTTCCCCCCGTCCCAGACTTGCTAGAACTGTCGCCCCTCCTCCAATGCTAGGATGGAAGCAACTAGATGCCCAGGGTTGTGAGGAAGGTGAGCCTTGGCATTTACTAAAGCTGCTTGGGGCTGGGCTGGGCTGGGCATGACATACTGAAGTCGGCATCAATTAAGATGGGCTCGGCGCCTGTGAGCTTGGCCATGGCCTCCAGGTCCCGGTAATGCCAGTGGTTCTGTTCTGGGTTGTTCTCAGGAACAAAGGGCTTCCTGGTCTCCGTCAACCTCACCATCCCGACCAGGTCCACTTCTCCCTCCACCTGAAAGGAAGATGCTCTTTGGGGCCCACATGGGGACGGGTCCCGCCTCCCTGAGCCCTGCTCAACTGAGGGACGAGTCCATGCCCCGTACCTGGCCTTTCTGCCTCGTGTCAGGGTTCACTTTCTTCCTCGGGACGAACCCTCTATTTACCAGGATGGTGATTCTACAGGAATGAAGGCAAGCCAGGCAAGCCGTTTCAGGTGGGGAAGCAGTTTTAGGTAAAGACCACCATGAACAGGTGGGCCTGGCACCCACGAATGACGTGTGGGAAGGGTTCACAGGGGGACTCGGGACCAGCTGTGGGGTGCCTCCTATCCCTGGAAGGTTAGCCCCCACCTCCACCTTGTGCCCGCCCACTGCGGCGGGCAGCCAGTGACCTCGGCCAGGCCTGGAGTTGAGACCCCTTGAACCACTTATTGGAGCAACTGCCTCATGTCCCTGCCCCCAGTCTCTCCTAGCCAGGGAGCCACCAGGGGCACAGCGGGGCCCACCCCAGACCTAAAAGCAGGAAATGTTGATAAGGGCCCCAGGGCGTCGGTGCAGACACCGGAAGCGCAGCACCCCTCCGGGCACACCCCCTTTCCCTGGACTCCACGTCTGGCCCACTTAGTGCCTCGGGGTGTCTTTCCTGAACTTGACCCCCTATCAACTTAGCTGGGAGTTCCCTGCTCTCGCCACCTGGTCATCATGCTAAAAAGTTAATTTGCTTAATGACATCAGTTACAAATTTCAAACTCTTCGAAGAACTGAACCCTTCTGGGTATTTGGAGTCCCCAGGGTCTTCCCAAGACGGGCTGCGAAGGAAAGGTGCAAGTCAGTGCCCCGTCTGCACGTGCAGGCCGCTCGGCGCCCAGCGACTCCTGCTCACCCCAGGTCAGTGCAGTGGAAGGGGGTGATGACGTGGGCACCGCTCTGGACTGAGGGCTGGCCGGCCTCCCGGGCCTCCCGGGCCGGGTCCACCATGGTCCGTGGCATCATGTACAGCTCCTTGGAGTGGTCAAAGTGCCCCCTGACCTTCACCGGCCTGTACTCCAGATTTTTCAGTTCCATTGGGCTACATGGGAAAGGGGCAAGGGGAGAGGAGTCGAGGCGCAGCCAGGCTCGCGGGTCTGGCCGGAAGACACGCCCTCGCACGGGGCTGCAAACCCCAAGACCACGTGGCAAGCAGGAGGCGCAGGGAGCGAGTGCCCACCAAAGGGGAAGTGTCCTTTGATGCCACGCGGTCCACATTTTCAAAAGAAGTGAGCTCCCATGTGAACTTGCTTAAATGTGGAGGCCGACACCCCCCCTGCGAGCACCCCGCTTGCTCCCCTGACGGAAAGCTTTGCTGACTAGAGCTGTCCCTCTAGGACACTGCTTTGAAATGAGGGAAGGGCACTAGCATCGTTTTAGGGCACTGTTTCAAAATGCCACTGTCACTTCAAGACGTGACATTGCCTGCTTCACCTGTCAGCTAAGAATTACTGTCTAAGGGGGCCATCGGCACTGGGGGCTCCCTCAGGTACACTGGTCCTGAAAACGGTGAAGCCCAGGACCACAGGCAGCTTCCCAAGGGCGGTGGGGTACCAGGAAACCCAGCAGGACCAATGATCTCGAGGGCTCCCATCTGAGGGCCAGGCTCCACTGTGACCCCCAGCGAGACCAGCCCCAGGCCGGCAGCCCCACACTCACTCTGCCGGCAGAGGGACAGGCTCGGCCATGACTCTGGACTCCAGCTCTGCGATCAGCTTCAGCTTCCACTTCCGACGCTGGACCTGTGGAAACGGACTAAGCCCACGCAGATGGCAGCAGAGTCGAGAGCTCGGCGCCCCAAGAGCTAGGGCCAGTCTTTACCTGCCATGTCCCCAAGCCAAAGGCAGTCACAGGGATGAGAAGCAGGAACCACTGAAGGAAGGAGTCTTCTCTCACGGCAGATGCTTCCGCTGCGGGACTGTCACGTCTGCTTGGCGTCCAGGCCAACCCTAGGAAGTTTTACCACACCGGGGTGGGCTCAGAAGCCCCAGAACAGATGCCTCGAGAGGACCCACCAGTGCTGCCTGAGAGCACGCACAGGAGTGAAGACGGCGACCTGCCGTCAGGAGCCAGCTAGCAGCACCGGTGTCCCCCGGCTCCCAGACCAGGGCCTGGAACATGGCACTCAGTGGGTGTTTACTGAATGCTAGGGCTCGGTCCTGGCTCTGCCAGCAACTTGACCCCGGGGGAAATCCACGTGACCACCCCATGCCTTCGAGGCAGGGGGACGCTGAGATGCACGAGCACCGGCCACTGTGCCTTGAGAGAAACGTGACAGAAGCTCAGGTTTACAGAATTACTGTCTAAGGGTGCTTAACAGCTGCCTCTTCACTGCTCAACCTTAAAAACATTGAGAGAAACGTGACAGAAGCTCAGGTTTACAGAGCTCCCTTAATAGTTGCCTTTTCACTGCTCAACCTTAAAAATATGGAACAATGTACGCAGAAAGCACACGTAAGCTCTCAGACAGTGCATCCTATCAAGTGACAGCATCGCGGGCCTGCGGAAGGTGAAAAGCAGGCCGAGGCGGGCTACCAAAGCACCCTTCGTGGGTGCACGGCGCTGGGCTCACAGCGTATGGCCTCTGCTGCAGCCCGCAGGCACCGCGCGAACCGACTGGATGCGCTTTCCTTTAGGACCCCGCCACCTGGGTGTCCATCTTAGGCTGGCCCTCCTAAGGCGGACGAGACGTCAGGGTGTTGCTTAACGTCTCCTGCCGCGTGTGCAATACAGCAATGCGACAGCGGGCAGCCCTGGGACGGCCCTGCACGCAGTCGAGGCTCCTTTAAGAGGCGTTGGGTGTGATAAAGGCGATCAGAGCTCATCTGCACGCGCACGAGCCCCTGCACCGTGGAGGACACGGCGGCTGTTCCCGGACGAGTCCTCACCTGCGCGCGAGGGAGCCCCAAGGACGCTCCTCCTGACGGCGCCAGCTGGGACCTGCGGAGGGGAAAGGGGCTGGCTGAGCAATGCCGGTCGGGGGCGCGGGACCCGCGCCCGGCGCCC